AATGCCTCAAATGTTCTCTTTATATATTTTCAGATTAATATTGGAACTGGGTTATAGCCTAGCTCCAAATATTGTTCTCAAGTCACAACAATCAGATCTGGATTGAGTTGACAAACTGGTGTTGTAAGGTAAGAATTAACAAGAATAAATAGTCTGCTTTTAGTTAAAATGACAAACTGGCCCAGCTAAGGTGGCCACCCAGGCCAGACAAATCAGTCTCGATCTTATAAACAGCCCCTACAAAAATTTAGTAACTAGTAACAACATAATTACACATGAATCCTGTGATTTAAGGCCTGTTAACACTGACACTGTGCTCAATTTTGGTACCTGTAACATGTTTACCATGCTTGGACTACCTATTCATACAGGCCGAGCACAGATAAATTTGGTACAGGCACCAGTTTTATCTGTGCCATACCAAAAATTGAGTATAGTGTACAACAGGGGCCGGTTGTTCAAAGGTGGGTTAGCGCTAACCCTGGGTTAAATTTAACCTGCTGTTTTAGTTTGTGTATATCTACAAGTCTGTTTGTTTCAAAATTTCAAAAAAATAAACTCCTATTGATCCAGACAAGATATCTGAAGAAATATTTTCAAATTTATAGACAAGCTGTTAGGAAGTTTGGATTGAATTTTAGGTTAACCTAGGGTTAAGCTACTGTAACCCAGCTTTGAACAACCGGCCCCAATGCTTTAGTAGTTTGGTGCTTTAATAATCTAAATTATGCCAGAAGTATGAAGGGTCAGTGTGCAATAGCCAATTTTCTGTCATGAATGAGTCATTACAGTATGGTACAGGTAGAGCTGTCCATAGGCCTGCAATAATGCAGGGAGAGGGGCTGTAGCTGGACCCATTGACCTGCAATTTGGCCTAATGTGCTCTGTCTTGTTAAATTAATTTACTCTGTCTTGTTAATTTACTCTGTCTGATACCAAACAATTTTAACTACCGTATATTTCCATGCTTCATACTAAGTCCAAAAAAAGAAATGCCTGGGTTTCTATTTCTCATATGCAAAAATAATATCTCGTATAAAAAGATTAGGGTTGGTGATTTCTTTGGCCTAACTCATTAGTAAGCCCTAATGTCTCCTGTAATATACTTTACAAAAATAGTATCAAATCAAATGTAACCTAGTAGATGGTTAATTAAGCCAATATATATCTGGTAACCCATTAGACATGGCTACCATAAGGGAATCCCCTATTTGGCCTAACACTATCTAGATTATTCTTGCTGTCTCAATGCCAATTAAATCTAAAACATATTAAATAAATCTGATTTTATCAATTCCTATTTTTGCAGCTTTTGGTCTGGATGATACAGTCTATGGAAAGACAGCTGCTATGCAGTACAAGGTACAGGACAAATGCTGTGGGGCTCGAAGAGGTGTAACTAAAAGCAAACCAGCTGAGTGAGACTTGACATTAACAATTAATGACTTTTAGGTAATCATTATTTATTTCTGGCCATGTATATAAATAAAATTATATAATATTAGGAAATTTTAAATAAGTGTAGGTTATAATAGTATAAAGTGTAATTACTCTGCCCCAGGAGCCGGTTGTTCAATGCTGGACTAAAATTTAGGTTGAACCTGGGTTAAAATTTAGCCTGCTGTTTTAGTTTGTGTATTTCTACTGAGTGTACACGTCTGTTTATTTTGAACTTCTGAGAAGAAAACTTGTATCGATCCAGACAAGATCTCTGAAGAAATATTTCCACATTTATAGACAAGCTGTCAGGTTAACCTAGGGTTACGCTAATCCAGCCTTGAACAACTGGCCCCTGGAGAAAATTTGATTGTACAGTGCATAATTATATGTGTAACCTATAATTATATATTTACTAATAAATACATTTAATATTCTGATCTAGTATTTCTTCATATTAAATTATTACGGCTTCAAGTGAACATGACAGAGGTACAGTTGCAGCAACTTGATGTTGCAGAAGTAAGAGGAAATAGTTTTATGCAAGAAATAAAACTCACTTGGTGGCAGTTATGTGACATATCTGCTTGGTAGATAATATACAGATAATTTTATCTGTAGGAGTGTAGGGAAACTATACTGTCACATAACTGTGACAGATATGTTATTGGGCCAAATTCCTATATGTTGCAGATATGTGACAGATATCTGTCATATAACTGTGACAGATATCTGTTACATAACTGTGACAGATATCTGTCACATAACTGTGACAGATATCTGTCACATAACTGTGACAGATATGTTATGGGGCCAAATTCCTATATGTTGCAGATATGTGACAGATACTTTCGTACATATATTTTGCAGATATTTTACAGAACTGTGACATATATCTGCCACATATCTGTCAGTTTGGTAAGGGTAATTGCATACTTCTATATATATGCAGTGAATCCCTTAGTAGCTATGAATTTGTAGAAACAGAGTCGTTTTTGCATTGCATATTAATATGAGTAGGGGTACAGTAGATACCTTCATAGCTGTTTGCTATATAACTAAAGTGGTGGTTCTCCCAAGGTTATTAGCAAGGTTCAGATTTAACTTTCACTGCGACTACCGCTACCTTTAAGACATCATGAACCAATCAGATGCGTTTATTCCACCCGATTAACCAATCAAATACGTCTTTAGCCAGCGAAAGGTAGCGGTAGTGGAAGCCAAATCTTAATACCATAATATTCCATATACTCCAATATACCATACCATAATTGGTATTTTGTACATGGTTTAAAGGTTTAAGTGCTATACTGGAAGTTGGGGAAAACGTCAATAAAGACAATAATGCAGATATCAACTCTGAAGATATCAACAATGAGCCTGAAAATACAGCCTCAAACTCTGATACAACAATTGATGAAAGACAGTATGCCTCTCTAAACAAAGAGCAAAGAAAAAGTAAACCAAATAAAGCAGTAGTAAATAAATATTTGAACGTGGAATTTGCATCCAGGAGGGAACGCCTGCAAGCAACAAGAAAAGAGGACAGACCAAGATTCATAATTGACACCTACCCATGCTTTAAAGATCCTTCTGAGGTTTGTACTGTTCTATCTGTACTTTTGCACATGCCATTAATCAGAAGTTTCTTATTTCTGCGGAATGTGTTTTTTTTTAAACTCCGTGAGTTTTCAACTTTTTCCTTTCAAACTTGGTCAGATATTGGAATTAGTCAAAAACATTTAGGCCAATTTAACACTCAAAAGGTGTTCTGTAACCTTAATTTGCTCACTGCTTCGCTATTTTATATTATGTACAGTACATGTACGTCCTACGATATTGTCCCCTGCTTGGATAGCATGTACAAGGTGATAGTACTTTATTGGATAGTGTTAATAATTTCAGACCAAATTTGTTTTCAAATATTTGTTACTTTTTTGAGGTGTTGGAGGAGGTTAGACGTAGTTTGTCGCAGCCAGAGGAGGAAGATGTTGGACATTATCTGAAGACATGTGTTGAAAATCTAAAGATTAAACTAGATCATCTCATATACTATGGGATTTCAAAGAGTGCACTTCGCCCGCCAACGAATATTAGTGATGGTAGAATAGTGAAAGTACAGTTAGTAGCAGTTAGAATTAGATGTCTACCGAGATATGTTTAATTTAAAGTTGTGATTTATACTGTATCCTGTTTACAGTATGTTCCATACAGATGGATTGGATATCATCGATTAGTTTCAAGCTTTTGGTCTGCAATCTCGGATCATGTTCAGTACAAATAATCGTTATTGTTACAGTACATGCATGCATATGAGGGCTACTTGCACACGTGAAGACCCGAGCTTACAGACCAACAGTTTTGAAAAATTCCTGTTGCTAGTGGTCTAAAATCTAATTATGTTTTCTAACATGGCAAGGTGATTCATTTAATGAAAGGGTTGAACAACGTCTTCAAGCCAAAAGGAAAACAGTCAACAAAGCAATTGAAAGCTAAAGAAATATTCCATGTTATTGAGGTGGGTGTTGCCCTCTGATCAGGCTGGAAAATGTCGAGCAGCGCTGCTGCCAGGAAATTTTTAACATAAGGGTAAATTACCATGGCGAACAACATGGCATACGTGCCAAGATCCAAATCTGCAATGAAATTCCTGAAAATGACCATGCCTAGATAACTCCTGATCAATCAAAGCTACAAACTTTCTTGAGTACCCATATTTGTTTAGAATGGTTACTTTTAGGGGTGGTAATTCGAGAGTGTATTGTGTCTTTTTATTAGAAAATGACCATGCATCATCCCCGGTGAAATGCTATGTTTTCTTTACTATTTCCTGAAACTTTCACCATAGGATGAGTGTGCATGGTCTTTTCTTGTAATATATTATAACTAGACACATTTCACCCTCCATGTCGGCTGTGCCATTTCTAGGCGTTGTCATTTTCAGAACTTTCACCCCGGAATCGGGTTTCGGGACATATGCAATGTTGTTTACCCTGATAATTTTATCCTAAAACATTTGAGATTACTTGTCTTAAATGAAACGCATATACGAACTCCTATAGCTGGGTTTCAATCACGTGAGTCACTGACATTTTAGCACTTGGTGGTCGATCGAGTTCATTGTTCATTATATGTATTCGCCTTGTGTTTAGTAGCAATCACAAGGCATAAAGCGACGATATGTGCAAAGTTGACCACCATGTGTTTCCCTATGAAAAAGGCCTAGTGAAACCCACCTATACAGGTCCTGGACTAGAATGGCAACAATGTTCATCTTACTTTCTTTATTGCATTTGTTTGAGTATCAAAGGGAAAATTAT